TTAAACAATAATGAAATCAGTATGTTCTGAGCTCTTACAGCAAAAACACAGGAGAAACAGTTTTCTTCTGTGCTACAGAGTGACTTTTCTTCCTATTTTAAGCAAGGCTATATGCTCAGGTAATGTTTACCTCCTCCCTCTACTGCAGATCAGCAATCCAAAACTTGCCAGCTCCCAAGAGTGTTTGCTGACAACAATAATTACATCTACCAAAATGACAATTAGCTTGACTGCAAACCTGTCTTTGCTCAGCCCACCAAATTACGACAACTGGCCAGTGAACCATATTCTGTCCTCAGCTGTGATTCCAAAGCTGAAGATGGAAGGCAACATTTTTAACAGCATATAGCACGGCCTTCCCCAAAAAAGTTTTTTTAAAATTACATTTAATATGTGTTCTACATGAACTTATATATGGGACACCTTTGGCTTATCATGAAAGAGGCTGAACAAAAAGTCTGTTTAAGGTATAGTGTGTTTTCAACTCAGTCTCACTGCAATTCGTGAAATAGTCACGAAATTTAATCTATTGTTTAATCTACAGTCCAAAGAAACATGTTTCTCATCAATTTAAACCCCTCTCTGAAAGTTTTATATTTCACCCTCCATTTAGGAGAAATGGCTATTTTGAAGAAAGAACTACAACTTCCAGTAGTGCTACAATACAACGTGATTGGACAGGCCATGAAATATGTAGTTCTTCTTGGGGTTTACAACTAGGCTTGTGTTTTTGTATTAATAAACTAAAGTTAAAATGATTAAAGTACTGACAAATGTGCTACTGTTAAAGTATAATACGTGTAGTATGAAGTAAGTGTAAAAGAGTACATTGTATTGTGGTCATTTTTGTGTTGCTATTACATCGGCAGTGTTTGGGGGAAATCTGTGCTCATTGCAAAGGCAACCCTGTTAGCGTCAGTGCGCAGCCTTGGAAGATCCGTCCTACAGGGTCTGTAATGTTTTTGCGTGTACAGTAGGTGGCGGTCATGCACCTGAACTTTGGATGCCAAATCAATAGAAGAAGAAGCAGCAGCTAGGCTAGGCTAGTAGCTAATGTAGCCAGCCTCGACAAGCTAGCTAAAAGCTGCACAAAGCTACAGATACATTCCCCACCGCTGGCCTCTCAGTGACAATAGTCAGATTATCCATCGCAGCGATCACAGTACATGTTCCGGTCGCCGTTTTCCTGCATGTGTCCTTTTCAGAGTTGTATTCGTTTAATGAAAAGAAATGAAAGTAACAACGAGTGTGTAGACCAAACACAGTAAAAGCACTTATATTTTATCACAAATAAACGATAATAGTTATGAACGATATCGTTGGGATCACTTTCAGAGCGATCTCAGAACAGCTTCTCTATGCCTGGATATATTTCTTGTATTTTCTATTTGAATGAATATGGAGCTTATACACAGCGCCGGTGTTTACAGAATGTTAATGTTGGTCAGTGTGGGCGCACACATCTTTATCGTGATCTCTATAGTTATTAGTGTGGACGGGCCATAACAGTAAAATTGGTTAATGTCTGACTGTTGGAAGAAAAGAACGACAAAAACATTACAGTATATGCACTTTCTGATGGTGAAAAAACGTGTCCCAGACACGAAAGATAATTCCAATTAAAAGTATTGGTTGGAAATTTGTGCTGGGGAACATGAAAAAGTTGGGCAAATCGTGTCCCAGGGCACAAAACAATAGATTACATTTCGTGACTATTTCACGAGACTGGGTTGGTGTTTTATCTCCATCAGTGTAGCATCAAGAGCATCAAGATTAATTTGCAATTATCACATTTTAATATCCTTTAGTTCACGCATCCTGGAGTATTTGGGGAATGTTTTCACCTTGTCAGCACTAACAGTAGAAAATACAAATCTGTTATTTTATGTTCAGCTTAATTGGTATATTTAT